AAAAACCTTGTTAAAAAGTTTGGTCTTGAAAATGCTAAATGTCCTCAAACTCCCATGGGCACTCATGTAAAAGTGTCCAAAGATGATGAAGGTACATTTGTTGATCAAACTGTATACAGAAGTATGATTGGTAGTCTCTTATATCTCACTGCTAGTAGACCTGAAATTTGCTTTAGTGTTGGATTGTGTGCCAAGTATCAAGTTGCTCCCAAGGAATCACATATGAAAGCTGTCAAGCATATCATAAAGTACATTGGAGGTACAACTGAGTATGGTCTATTCTACTCTGTTGATACGAACCTACATCTTGCAGGCTATTGTGATGCTGACTGGGCTAGAAATCTTGATGATCGAAAAAGCACCTCTGGTGGGTGTTTTTACATAGGATCGAACTTTGTATCATGGTTCTGCAAGAAACAGAACTGCATCTCCCTTTCTACTGCTGAAGCCGAGTACATTGCCGCTGGAAGCTGCTGCTCACAGTTGGTATGGATGAAACAGATTTTATCTTAGTATGGTATGAACGTTCATTCGGCTCAACTTTTCTGTGACATCACTAGTGCGATAAATACTTCGAAAAATCCTGTCCAACATTCTCGTACCAAGCATATTGACATTCGGTATCATTTTATTCGTAATTTGGTACAAGATGGAATTATTGTGTTGGATCATGTACCTACAGATGATCAGCTTGCTGATATTTTCACTAAGGCTCTTGATTCGAAACAATTTTTGTCCCTAAGAAAATCCTTAGGAATGTGTGCTATATAATTTATGTGCATTGTGTCAGTTGCATATATATATATATATATATCGTGTCTATTGCCTATAGGATCTCTTCTGCATTTTAGGCATCTTAGTATGTAGGTTCATCACTGGAATTCTTCTCTGATTGTTTATTGTTGAGTCTGTTGATCGGTGATCTATGAATTCTAACTGGTCAGTTTGTAAGAGCTCGTCATAATGATCATTTTAATATACTTGTAAGAGATGCTCTCGTGAAAATAGGCATCGGGCAACTATCACATGAGGTGCTTCCTTGATCACCTGTGAAACGAGTTACGTGCTTAATAATAATCGAGGTGTGATAGCTACAGGTAAACATTCTAAGAATCAACGTTCTCTGGTGGAATAAGGCTGGCCATCCTGATATCTTCTCAGCTTGTTAAAACAAAAAAAAAAAAAAAACTTTTTACGGGATGATTCACACCTCAAGTAATGGGCTTGACATTGGCGTATAGTTGATGTTAGTAAGTGAATTGGTGTGGAAGTTCATAGAACAGAGTAAGTTCATCATAAGTATTGGGACTGAATTGCGAACGAAAATTTTGTTTTTTGCTAAGTGAAAGTGATGAACGAACTTATATCAATTCTGTGTTGTATAAAAGTGGGAGTATTAAGGGCTGAGTTGTGCACGAAGAGAATTTATTGTTCTCATCATCTTGTTAGTGTCGAGCTCGTCTCAAATTGATTTGGAAAGATTTGTGGGTCAATCAATTAATGGATTTTTTCAATATTACATGAAAGAAAAATTCTAGGGTATTGCGTGTTAAATATCTTATTTAGGCATGTGCATTAGGATTTTCTCATGGCATATATTATTTCAATCTTGTGCCTAAAATTATTTTTGTTGCATGATTTGGCCGATATTCGTGTCTGAAACTTCATGCGTTATAAATGGTAACTGTATCAATTAGATTGGTAAGTGATCTTTTTGGAGGGAACGGTTTTTATTGTCCTTTGTCGTGTTGGTCATTTTTTTTTAATTTCAAATTCTATGAGCCGAACCGTCTTGAAACTGCCTTGGTAACTGTGATTTATGTTTCCTACATCATCCTTATCACCTTTGCTTCTCTCTCATATCAATCATAATCTCTGATTTGTTTATTCTTCTAAAAATTCTCTAACATTCCTTCTTCAAGAGAATCTATACCTCTCGATAATGACTAAATCCAAGCAGGGCACCGTGAAGCCGAAGAAGAATGTTCCTCCGCCATCTCGGTGTTCAACTCGTCAAAGCCAAAGTTTCGATACTCTACCAGATCCAACTCGTTCAACCATGGCAACCAAGGACATTCAACCTCTCGTTAAATCCACAATTAGGGTTTCTCCAAGCCCTAAAAAATCCACAACGACAAAAGCTTCTCAACCTGAAGTCGCCGAAACCAGTGACAAAGGAGGAAAAGGTTCTCTCTCTGTCGTCAAATCTCCAAAGAAGCGCAAGAAGGTCACCGAAACTGCCGCACCTAAAACCAAAAAGGCGAAATAGTTCGTTCATGTGACTGAACCTGCTGCTGGTACTCCTTCTCACATGAAATATGGAGGAGAATCGTCTCCAGATTTTGATGTTGATTCTGTTGAACGTGAGGTTACCAACTATGTTGCTGAACCTGAGAAATCAGACAACAAACATGCTGCGGACAAGGAACTTTCTCCTTTTGAGAAAGAAAAAATCATTGCTGAAATCGAGGGTGATGGTCCAGACAGTCCTCTTACTGTTGGTAATGCTTTCCCCCATCAGTTTTATTCTCTTTTGGTTGAAACACATTTTTCTACCATCTTTTCTCAAATGAAGTTTCGTCCTGAGCGGACGATTGATAGCGAACATTAT